TATCAAAGAAGGTGAACTACTCTCACCTCTTTTCAATCTGCTGGCTGCTGATTGGACCGTTTAAACCTCCATAAGTCATAAAGATGATGGAAAGTAGAGGACATCCTGAACACTGCTTGATGACTTGGACTTTGCAGATGAGTTAACACTTTCGTTGCATACAAAACAACACGTGCAGACAAAGAGAGCTAGTGTGACGGTGACTTCTACAGAGAAACGTCTCAATATTCACAAGGATAAGATCAAGATCCTGAGGCACAACAAAGCGAGCGTCAACCAAATCACAATTGGTAGCGGAGATCAACAATAATTGGAAGTATTCACATAAGTCGACGCTACCACTGGTAAACAAGAAGGACCTCATGCTAGTGTCAAGAGACGAATCAACAAAACGCTGCCAACATTCCTACAATCGAAGAACAAAACAACTATCAACCAACTCTAAAGTCATGATTTTTAACACAACCATTAAGACAGTTCTACTGCACACAACTGAACCTGAGATAACTCCCAGTACCAACACCTAAAATCCACATGTATTTATAAACAGCTGTCTATGTAATATACTCCATATCCATTCTCAAGAGACCAGCAATGATCAATTCTGGTAGAAAATGGAACAGCTACTTCATGAAGAGTGAATTAGAAAACGATTGTGGAGGTGGACAGAACACAGTTTACAGAAACCATTAAACTTCATCACAATGGAAGCCCTAACTTGTAATCCTTAGGGGAAAGTGAAAAAGAGAAAGACCAAAGAACATATTGGCCATGAAACTGGAGGTAGACATCGAAGGCTGAACAGCAATTGAGAACAACTGGAAATGAGAAATCATGATAGATTTTGTTGGAAATTCCTGGCTGATAGCCTATCTCCTAAGACAGGCAGCAGATTTAATTCCGTAACTGGAGTGTCAGTCGTATATATCGTTACTGTGAGTAATAACCTATTACTAGCTACAGAATATTTTGCTTATACTAACGAAGTAAAGTAATATATGAATCAAATTGTGCTATTCAAGTGACATATAATCTTGAAAGCGTACAAAAATATTTCAGAACGTTTTTATAATGTACAATGTGTTGGAGAAAGAGGCACACGATTTGAACTTTCTTACGATATAACAATGATTGTCTCTTATGTGATTATTAGCCTTGAAATGTTAATTTAAAATATTCTGAAAAACCATGTTTTGAAGTTTAGATTATTGTTTATTTAATCAGTTTCAGCTATCATATGGAACTGAATCTCGAAGAAGCTTATGGAGGACGTTTACAGGTCCATTTTGAGTAAAAATCGATATCATAGAAGATAGACTACTCTCACCTCTTCTCATTCTGTTGGCTACTGATTAGACCGTTAAAACGTTTTAGGCACATGCCAGGAACGGTCTTCTACTATTCATGTAACTCAATGAGACATCGGATACTAAAAATAGTAATCATGCTTATTATTGATTCGTGATGTTTACAGGCAATAAATTGTTTATTACTGGATTTATTAACTAGTTCATACCATTGTTTATTCACCTAAACATTCACTCATTTACTCATTATTTAATGAATATACAAAATTTAAAAAAAGTGACCAGTTCGAAGAAGGGTTTTATATCATGACACCATACTAATCATACTTCAGATTACCTAGTTTAATTCATAGAGTTCAGTTCGCTAGATCACTTTAATTTCTATACAGTTGTCATTGTTTTCATAATTAAAAAAACAAGATTCTATATAGTTTTGATTTTGATGAAAGAAATATTCAACTATTAGTAATTCAAACAATTGTCAGAAATCATTTAACAATATTGTATTTCTTTCAATTAGTCACATTCTACTCACATGATAAATTATACTTTCTAAGGTAATATGAGACAAAAACAATTATGAATTCAGATTTCAATTACAACCGAAACATACTGGTTTAATACATTTCCCTGATTTATATTAAAATATGAATCAACAACAACAACAACAACAACAAAGGGGTCTGTATTAACGTTAAATATTCAATGTCAATATTACAATTTGATTGAATCAATAAAGAAGAAGTTTGATGCAATAATGACATTTTTGCATACTTTTGTTATTAAAACAATAAGACCATGAAATATTATGTCAAAGGAATGTAATTAATGTCATAAAAATTTTAAAAAAATAGAAAAAAAACGATATATGAGTCTAACAGAAAAGTATGATGAAATGTCAATTACTTAGGGTATAATAAATGATAAGCAACACTAATATAAAATGCATAAAACTTACTGTTTATAATCTCTATTTTACTGATTATATGATTCTTATTTAGCGGGTAAATAATTTTTTTTGGCAAACTATTTAAAACGATCATTATTCTGTTCAATTTAAATTACTTTTCTTCAGATGACCATTGTACAATGACTTTCATCTTTAGTTTAATTGTATAAAATAAGATTGGGTGACTAGAAACACACAATATGTCCCGGAGTGAATAACAATTCTGGGATACAAGTGCATTCAGCTGATGAGTCTCAAATAGGACGAAATGTGCACCCTGAATTCCACTGCTTACCGTCGCCCATATTTGCTTATAATATGCTTAACATTTTGGAGAAAATTCGGAGAGACTCTAATTTAGGGACGAGCCAATGAGAAGCGTTTGAGCTATTTCAATTATTAGCCAATCAGAAGACAGTATAAAGTAAAAATATATTACAAGAAAGTAATGAATTACAGTGGATATTCTTCTTTTACATGATTAAAAAACTTGTTAAGGTTCGATAAAGGCTCAGAAGTTCTGAATCCATAATGCATACGGTATAGAAACTCGTCCATAGGGTTAGGGTTTTTAATCATGTAAAAGAAGAATATCCACTGTAATTCATTACTTTCTTATAATGTATTTTCACTTTATACTAACTGTCCTTTAATTGGCTAATAATTGCGAAGGTCATTTAAGATTCGTTCAAAGGTCGTCCCTAAATTAGATTCTCACCGGAAATTCACAACGATAAAACTGTTCTCATAAAAAATTAATTTGCCAAACTATTAACTATTTCATTTTGAGTTTCGATACTAGATAGTTTAAACAGTCTTACTTACTTGTTGGGTAAATCAGTCAGTCACTTATTTATTAAAACTCAATAAGAACTACATCAATATTACCAAATGATTGATTTCTTTCAATTATATTTTGGATATCATCTTTCTGTTGTTTATGTGGAAGAGTGTGACACATGAAAATCGAAGAGAGATATTAAATATAATTGGTTCAAATTTATCACTATTTGAATAGTGGCTCTTTTATATGTTTTAAACTTTACTACATACCAACTAAAACACTACATGTAGTCTTAACACTACTACTTTTAAAAAACAAGATCTTAGCATTTGAGGTTAAAGGGCTGTAATGTTTTTCTGTTCGTTTCCGTTAACTGAGTAATCTATAACACGTACAAATTTATTGTTTATGCAGACAATTATTTCCTTAATCACATGACATTTTTTGTTTTCATTACCTGGATTCATATGTATTGGTGTCTTACACGTGACTATCAGTTAAATCTTGATAAATGGTATGTACTTTTATGATGTGAATTTTACATTGGATATTGAAAAAAAACCAATGAGTGTATTCGATATACTGTTCAATCGTCTTCTGGTAATGAATACATCTATGATTTTTTTTGAATGGAATAGTCTAGATGCATTGTATTTCAATAGGATGTATACGACAGAGAATTGCAATTTCATTCAAGTTTCATTCCATAAATGTATTATTTATGGAAATTATTTTGATGTTTATGATTTTTATTTACAATTTGACCTAGTTATGTAGTAAGTCTTTGTTCATCGGTGTAGATGTGGTTCACTTTACTGTGTACTTACTTACATCCTTCTTGTTCCACTGACTACATTTCTAGATTAGTTAAGATTTTTATCTTTTCATAATCTCATACAACTGTAGTGAACGAATACTCAGATGGGGAAGACCAATTTATTGTTTAATACGAAATTACAGAGTGATTTCGCAAAATATGAAAACCATGCCTTAAATACATAATTCACATATCTTCCATCAGTTGTCCCTTACATGATTCTTTCAATTCTGTTGTTATTACAATTACTTTCTGTTTCCCATTCTGTTCTCTTCAATTGAATCTTATCAATCTTCTTCCTGCATGCATTCCACTTTAGATTAGTGCTACATACTGTCATAAGTACACTACACAACAACGTGAATCGATGAACCATTGTGCAGCATTTAAATATTGATGTGCCGCTCGTTCAAAAGTTATCTGATTAGGCGATTTACCTCCCTTTTTTAAAGAAAACGTTGAATAAAAGAACTATGTCAGTTTTAATGTTGAAAACGAGATCTATTGGCTATAACTATATTGTACAACGAATATCATAGCTAAGTGAAAAGTAGTGACATTGTCATTTATTTTATCAGTCATATTAAAATAGTAAACACTAGAAAAATGTACCCTAATAACTGTCGAACTTAAAGTTCCACTAGATGAGATAGATACCCTACAGTAAAATAGTTACCAAACATTACCAACTCCCTGTCTCTGACATGAGAAAATCTACTTAGGTACACATACAGATTATGTTATGTGAACTGATAACATTAATTTTGCACGTGAAGTACAACTTATCTGTGACGACGGACCACGGGTGAGCTCGGGGAAGCTGTAGGAGGCTCAGAAGGAGCCAAAGATATTCCATCCAATCACCTTTCAGAAGAATATTCTAGAATTCAACGTGTAGCCTCCTGATTGGTCAATACTAATAATCCCATGTACGCGGATTGGTGGACTGTAATGATGATTTCGTTCTTACTAAAAACTATAAATACCTGACAATTTTGTACTATAATTGACACTTTGGAATAATATTCCTTTTGTTAGTCTTCTGTCTTCTTACTGCGACTTGGAAGGGTTTTGGTATATGCGGTATATCAAGAAATCAGCCTTTAAGATATAACATTATCAATAAATAATTAAGTACGACAGTAAATGTATGAAGATGTATATTTATTATATGAATGCTTTGTTAAATGAAACAACAAATAAATATTTATGTATGCCTTTATGGAAAATGATAAATAGGATTTAAAAACAAGCCTTTTCCACTTTCTGATATGATAAAAACAAAAAAAAAATAAATCTTGCAACAACAGAAACAGAAGAAAAAATAAGTTGAATAAATAAACAAATAAATCAATAGGGAAATAGAAACAGACTTCAGTAGTAAACTGGCGCCAAAAATAAAGTCTCTTTACAGTATTTCTTTGTTGTTGTTGTTTTTTTGGCCGATCACAGTTTGATGTACATAATGGGTGAATCACATATGTATTGACATGCTTAAGCTTATATGAAAATATATAATTTATTAAATGAGTTTTTTCTTTCTTTTTTTTTTAAAAAAAAGAAAGAAAAGGGCTATCAAGTCCCAAATAAACCGGAAGTAAAATTAGAACGGATTCATAAAAACAAACAAAGATAATATAAAGAACAATAACTAGAAAATGATCATAGTTTCATAAGATTATAAATAGAAGTTATGAGTTCTTTTGAAAGTTTGTTTGAGATCAAATAAATAAATAAACAACAATGAATGCTAGTCATTTGAAAAGAAGGAATTGCACATAATAATGAGTAAATGCATGTTTTCTTTTTTCTTCTTTTGTTATGAGATGAAAATGAGAATAAATACAGACTATTGTTCCTCTTTTTTTTTAAAAAACAAACAAATGAAAAACTAGATTATTGTTATAAAAAAAAAGATTTATGACTGAAGTAAATAAACTGAAGGCACTCAAATGTTTTCATGTATGAATTATACTATTAGATTTGGAAGAGCGTAATAAATTCATTTGGAGTAAGAAGACGGATACGTTGTTCTTTATCAGGATAATGGCAAGGATGTCCAAATATCTATAATAATTCAAAAGATTAAAATTAATATTTTTTTTTAAAAATGTATGATTTTTGTTATATCCGAGTGAAGATTAAATCACGAGTAACCTCTAAGACATGAAGTCATAGTACTTTGTGTAATCAAGATGAAAGATAGAACTTCTTTCTAATAAAATATCCGGTGATTATTAAATATCAAGAAAACTTTGTGTACACATTTCGGAATGTTGTTCAAGCTGATATGTTAATTCAATTGAAAATATTTTTTTTTCTTTATGAATCAAAGAAAAACTAGAATATACTGAATAAATGTTACTTTTAGATTATATATCCTTTAAGGGACTTTTGAAATCAAATAAAAAACCTATGTTTTACATTCATCCTATTATTACTTAATAATTAAGGAAATCAATAATCTATTATAAGTTAACTTATGTATGATCGTTGCACAAATGTCTAAATAGTATTGAGTCAATAAACACATTCCCAAGTTATTTCTGCAACTCCGCCTGGAGTCCTTCTGGGGACTACTGCCGGCCCCAAGCCCGGATAAAGGAGGAGGGTTGGGCATGGGGTTAGCGACCCCATACCGTAGAAAACCAACGCGCTAAAAAAACGCCAACCAGAAAAAATTATTCAAACCTTTTAAACTCTGCCCTGGAAGTCAGAAGGTCTTCATTTAGAAGAGTTATGACATCTCATGACGAAAGCCGAGTTCCTTCGAAAGTCATGAGCCCGGTGCCCCTTCTGACAACCAGAGCAACCATTTATTTAGGTACATAGAATGTTCATACAATGTGGGAGACCGGGAGAGTCTTCCAAATTGCTGCAAGTTATTTCTGCGGATAGGAGGATAAACTGTTATTCAAATAATGACATCTAATTAAGAACTATCTTCAATATATGTATTAGAATGTAATTTGAAAATTTTATTTATTGCAATAGAAACAGAATTTTCAGTTGTTTTAATGACATAATCAAAATATAGTTCATCAGTACAAATTCAAACGTACAATGCAAGTGAATTTAAAAAAATGAAATAAAATGGTTTATTTTTTAGGAAAGATTATTGAGAAATAAATTATTCATTAAAAACGCCCTACCTAGACGTTATAAGCAAAACCTCTGTTTATAAAACTTTTTAGAGAAAAAGAAAAACCTAAAATACACTGATTATTGTGACAAAGCTGTAAAATAAACACACACTATTTTACAAACCTCTAACAAACTGATTCGGTACAATACTGTACATGAATAGAGCATATTTTGTTCACTCAAAGAAAAACTGGTAACTATTGTTATTAAGCTCATACTAATCACTAGTAATTGAGTCAAAGGATTTTATGCAACATATTTGAAACCAACGAAAAAAATGTTTTGCACTTTCGAGATCTTAAGTTTAGTTTGGGTGGTATACCTATATGTTTCTTGTTGCTTGGGAGTAGTTAAACATTAAAAAGAATCGTGTTTCACAGTTGTCCTGGAGATTAATATGTAAGTATCTACCTCCTTAATAACTTATTCTACAATGAGTTAATTTTACGATCTTACTAACTAAAAATTCACAATATAATTTAAATATTTGCTAAATAATATTAGGACTAAGATTCCGTTTCTTTATATACCTATACGTAATTAGGCATTACATGTGATGACAATTTTCTAACGACCATATTTAACTTTTGAACAAAAGAGATCAATAGATTCGTAAAGTATGAATCTTTTCACGAATAAGAGTATATTTCCAGTCTCGTAAAATTTGGAATGATAGCTAAACTTGCTGTCTCTGAGAAAGGATATTTATTGTAATAAATCCGTCACAATTGTGGAGACTTAGTTGATGCAATAGATATCAATACTTATCATTCGACTGAATATATCGTGAAGGTATTGAATAATGGTGAAGAAAAGGGAGGTAAGGCCAGTTGATGGCATGGCATCATGGTATGGAAGATAACTGTATACCACTTGTACCTGCCAGTTCACTGTGATTCCTTATTTAGGGTCCCAACAGCCATGTAACTCAGTGGCTTGCGATGTTATCAGGTATGGTCCAGGACTGAAGTTATCGGTGATTCTGCGGCAGTTCTTTGTTAAACCTCATAAAATTGATATGAGTTTCATAAACTGAAAAAAATCTTCAGCTATATATCTACCAAGTATTATTTTTGTTCACTTGTTTATTGATTGAATTACCATACTTTTCATTTATGTGGGCCATTTTCGTCCCCCTTATATACACAGATGCATGTGATCAAGTAAAAATAGGTAAATAAAACTAGCGAAATAGGTTGTGTTGTTTTTCAGAATCAGTGATTAGGCAGTTGGAGGACCAATAAACATTGAAAAGGTATATATATATATATATATATATATATATATATATATATATATATATATATATATATATAGAAAACTAGGTATGTGACTCACCGGCCAAAACAAACAAAAGCAAACTTCGCAGACAGCTAGCTTAGCTGGATAAATATGATTGTCTCCGTATATTTTGAGCAGTCTGACATAGGCTCGTTTCCAATCACAATCATCAATTGATGCTGGAGATCGGGTATGCCATCCAGGGAGACCATAATTAACTGCTGGTATCTGACTTATATCAAAGTGTGCTAGTGTTAACGTTTTCCAGAAGTATTTATCTGCAACTACACTGGCTAGTGCACTTGAAGCCAAAGACGCCGTTTCAAGATCCTGAGGAGAGTTTATATAGGTCAGGACATGAGTCAAACATTCAGATGGAAGTCTTTCAAGTTTTATACCTTCTTCTGAAGAGTTTTCACGTACACTCAAGGACCTGAGCTTGTAAGGCGGACATGTTGTAAATGATTGAATTTTCTTTGAGGCAAAGGTAAAATTTAAAATTAAGACAGTAAGATGAATATTATGATATAAACAAGATTAAGAACAAAATTGCTACAAGTTGATGGGCCTTCTCATAAAAAACCACAACCAGCAAAAGTCAACTGAATAATACTTACGGAACTCCTCTACAAATACAAAAATTAACAACTATCTATGCGCTTATTTCAATTACTGACAGAAACAAGTCAATTGGTCAGGATGACGAATCAAACGGACTGTGCATCAATTAAATCCAAACAATAAGAAAAAATTCACCATTTTACAACCCCCAAAAACAAAGAATAACCGGAAAGTTGTAGCAACAAGATAATAACGTCATATTTCGCTATTTGTTTACTTGAAAACAAATTAAACAACGCTTTGTTTGTACTGCTTTCATTGACGTTTTACTATTTTAAAGCTCTAGAAGCTTTAGTTATTTGCGTGACTCAAACCAGTTAGTGATATTTATACTCCATCTTTCTGAAGTCAAAAGAACAGAACTGCTGGACAGTAAATATAGAATACGGTAGTTGATACTCCAATACTCACTAATATAACTTTAGAATTCTTTTTCAATGACATCTGATAATCCAATTTTTATTGCTTTACATTAGACATACAATTTGTTGGCAAGATGACGGAGATCTGTAGCTTAGGAGGAAGCTTTTATAGGTATGGTGTTTTTCACCTTAGAGAGAACAACAGATCCAAGAAAGAGTATTGTTGGATCTCAAGTAAAAATCTCTTTGCTGCGAGTTCGAATAAGTCGTAAAAGATAATGAAATCTTACCAATACATCAAGACAACGGTTATTGACCGGACAATTAGGTTTTATATACACATTATTTACATAGCTCTCTATCTTTTATCTCCAGTAAAAATTCTTCCTAAAAGATAACTGACACTAACGCAACAGCAACATCTGAATTACAATAAACCGTAAATTAGTTTATCAAAATGTTCATTCTATTTATGCCTATTAGAAGATCAAACTAAACATTTACACAATGTAGATAATTACATGACTATTTATATTACTGAAAGCACTGACAAACAGCTGCAACAAAGTATTGCTTTCTCATTGATGTATGAATTAGAATTTTCAGATATATCAAAAGGAATTCAGTCTGAACAAACATTAAGCTGTGTTCTTCTTACCTTAAATTCTAATAGAGTTGAGCAGCGAGTAGACTTTTGAGCCTAGATGGTTTTTGAGAGACTAAATGTAGGGATGATTCTCACTTAGAAGAAGAACATTTATTATTATTATTAATGGCTTTATTCAATATTATATTTTGGTACAATATAGAATTCGCAGCAATGAGCTTATAGACTTGAGGTTTTATAGGAAATATATACAGAAAAATAGTCTAACTGCAAATTTCCTATAAAGAAACAATAACTATTTGAAACGTTGAATTTAGATGGCTCATTTCCAAGGAAGTGATTTTAACAGAATGTTTTGGCTTATTAATGCAGGGATAAAATGAGACTATCTTCCAAAGCATATGAACTGATTTCATAGAGTGAATGGATATGTGTATCACAAGTAGACGTTGATCATGTTTCAAGAGAAGCTAGAAGATTATGTCATAGCCTAGTACGTTGGGAGTTTTATCTAGCAATATTATGTTAGCTTATTATATTAGGTGATCTTATACAAAGAAAAACAACAGAAAACGTGAGGCTAAGTATATTACATAGATACTTCGAAACTCATACAAAGCAGAGAAGCCTACTTTTTCAATATCAAATTCATCGATACAAATGTACATCTCATCTAGGGCTTTTTTATGATTCTGCCAAAGTAAGGCACTTCCAATATGATCATATTCATTTTTCTCTAGATTTTCTCTTAATGCATCCAGAAGCTTTCGAAAACGTTCTGTCTGGTTGCAACTAGCTTGAACTAGATTATATAAGTATTAGACAACACAAGAACCTTGTTTGAGCACCTCTTTTAGAAGTTCAATTAGGAAGAGCTGTAACCTTCCGGCTAACCTGTGAAAGTGCTCTGAAATAAGAAGTTCAATTATCTAAAACATGAAAACGATGAGAAAAATACTTTGCATATATAATCGAATCTTCTTATGTCTCTTAAAGCAGCTTTGGTATCGAGCTTTAGGAGAGCCTCACTAATAGTTGTTGTTGTAGCGATCTACAGCCACTTTATGGGTGGTTATCGTAACAAACCTCACGAGTAGTCCCTGCTTGAAGGTGTATGTATGGTTGGTAAAAAACGGCTTTAAGGTATTCACTAACATACGGTGTTGACTTCATTTCATCTTCTAATGTTTGCCGACACAGTCTAACATCACGAATAATTAAAAAAATAAACTACAAACCGCTTTACAACATTCTCATTAATGGTTTCAAACATTCTGAGCCGATAAATTTTGGCATTTTCCCACATGCTGCCACTTTCGTTTGTCTTTAGCCACTGATCTCCAGGACATCTCCAGTCTGGACTGAGGAAAGGCATCTTAATACTCAAATGACTACAACAGTAACAGCTGATTGCAGACCTTCATAGCTCGCTGGTAGAGTCAAACAAATGTACATCGGTATAGTGTTCAATGGCGTACCAATGAGTTTCAGATGACCATAATTAGTGTAGAAAGAAATTCGACTCAATCATTTTCCATCTTAGTAAATAATAAATCACCAACTCGATAGCTGTTATTCAGAAACGCCTTATCAGTGAACACGAAGTATTCACAGATATTTTGTAAACAAAATGAACTTTATTTACAAGAGAAAGTGCCTTTTTATCAGTACGTTTATTTCAAAGAATTCGTTGCATATCACCCAGCGCAGGCCTTCACATTGCTACAACAATAAGCGTGTCCAGACTACCTTGTCCGCCACACCTCATGAACATCAAATCTCCGTGTCTTCAGACTTCAGTAATAAGGATAGTAGGTTGGTGAACCTGTATTAATCCTGACACACTACTTTCCAGTGAAGGTCTAGCTTCTCCTTGAAAGTATTCACTAATAGGGCTGATACCACTTGTTCGGGTAAGGCGTTCCAATCATTGACTACTCGATGAGAAAAACGGGACCCCACTTTAAGTTTATTAGATCATGGCTTATGAACCTTCTTGCTATGACCTCGGAGATTATTAGTGCTGTTGGGAGCAAAAAGATGAGACATATTAACACCTAAATCATAATCGAAGATTCGAAATACCAGTATAAGGTCACCTTGTGACCTACGATACGACAAGGGGAAAAGGTTTAGGCGTTTTATACGCTTATCGTAAGGGAGTCTAGAAAGACCCTTCACTAATTTCGTTCCCACACGCCGGACACGCTCAAGGGAGTTAGTATCCTTTACTAAACACGGGCTAGCCGCTTGAATACAGCACTCTAAATGTGGTCCTACATATATGGGATATAAAATTCGAAACGTTTCCTCGTCAAAAGATTTGAACGCTCGGCGAAGTGACCATAACGCACGAAAACCCTTGACAGCGGCTGCCTTGCAATGCGTAGTTGTTTTTAAATCATGACTTAATACTACTCCTAAGTCTTTATACTCTTGAACGCATGGAAGAGGTTTACCCTCAATAGTATGACGGTAACTATTACCGTGACCGATGTGCATTAGCACACTCTTCCTACCATTGGTTTCTAAGCCCCACTCTCGAGCTCATCTAACTAAATCGTCTAAGTCAACTTGATGATCCAGATGATGAGCCGCCTTTTTTATTGTTCTCCAGATTTTTACATCATCCACAAACAATAATGTCGACGACCTAAGCAACAGAGGTAACTCATTAACGTAGAAGGAAGAACAGAGAGCCTAAGATGGTGCATTAGGGTACACCACTTTTGACCGGCTTCCAATCGGATAGCGTTCCGTTGACCCTCACTCTCTGTCTGCGGTCACATAAGAAATTTCCTATCCACTCATGTACAGTACCTATTATTCCGAAGCTCGTGAGTTTCTGCATAAGACCTAAATGTGAAACCTTGTCAAATGCTTTGCGAAAATCTATGAATATCACATCAACAGACAGACTGTTATCTAGGGCTGCTGTCCAATCCTCTCTCACAATAAGCAAGTTAGTCAAGAGAGGACGGCTGTGAATTACAGAAACGCGAGGACTTAAATGAGATCCTTCAGGCCTGACATAGCTGAAAAATTGACGTCTTCAGCCACATCAGATGTTGTGAAAGTCGATCTCAATCAGTCATGGTAGTGGTCAACAACTCACTGTTCAGAAAATAGATAACGCGGACTCGGAAATGTAACACGCTATACTGGCCAAAACCTACGGCGGTAATTCGTACGGAACTGGCCGGCACACCTGAAACAGTAATCTACCTAAAGATCAGATGACATGCTGCAGTAGAGCAGCACCGTGCAATAGGACAAATCCTCCAGCGCCTCTATAGCAACCTAAGAGGACTATGGAGTAAACCAGTTGGAATCAGAAATATGTGCTTTCAGTTAGACCTTCAGATCATAGTCTTCGCCGAAACATGGTCATCTTCAAACATCACACATGAATAAGTGAGCTTGTAATAATACTAGCTGGAGACGTCGGCGCTCCATTCGTTAATCTCAACAAACAGGATACAACCCTTTCTGGATGTGGTTTCATGGGCGACTTATGAGAGCTACTGAAAGTTCAGTATCTGATTTGAAAGTAATAACACTTTCTAACGTGGTTTAGAAGTTTTTCGACTTGTTCTTTTGTGGGCTGTATTGTATTGGGTACATTTTACCCCAGGAAAATCACCAGTTAATACATACCTATCGCGGACTCCATTTCCTAGGTATCTTACACAAGCCTCCAGCGGTTGACGCGTTTTTATCTTCTGAATATTCTAATTAAAATATAAATATTCAGTTGATCTTTACTTTCTTACGATATAGCTGAACACCCTACATCTGAAATACATTATATACCCATGGTCCTTGATCCTAGTATTAGCCCGGTTACTGCTTATGAATAACAATGTACTCGGATATTCTATTGCGTTAAACGAGCTCTCTACTCATCCAGCTTCAAATTATGGTCAGTAGCTTCAATAAGAGAGAAATCTCACCAATTCCTATGCCAATAAAAGGTAAAAATCTGTAACGCCTATGTCAGTTATTCAGTACATGATGATGTCAAGCCCTCATCTTCTGAACCCTGTGCGTCATATCCACAAATATTACTATCACTGCCTGGTTCCCCATGTGACAACACTTCTATCTTTTCATTCAATATACCGACGGGAAGACTGGTTAACACTAAAGACACAATGCCTACATGCATCGAAAGTCGACACAGTCTGTCAGCAGTAAGTTTTGCTAAGGCTTAAAACAGAAATTTCAAAAACCGAAAATACTAATCAATATAGTACTGATATCCGCCAACCACAGAACTCTTTTGCCGAAATTAACAGTGGACTTAATCATTGGCACCCCTCATTTATATAAAGGGACCTTATACCGAATAAAAATCATGAAGAACTCACCAAGATTGAGTGTAATTCCGAGTTTCTGGTGGAAGAAGTGACGAAAAGAGTGTCGTCCCACGGTACAGTTGCATACAATCTCCATGACTACACATACTCAAATAAGTTGAGGGATGCGTGCCTTAAAACATGTGGAATGTTGAACGTCAGCTGTCAGGTTATCCGCTTGAGAGAAAGGTCGGATAAATCAACATGCCCTTTCTTCTTTAAGTTTAGCTGTTATAACGATGCTAAACAATTTGTTGTTTCGAACAAAAATATTAGCTCATTAGTTTCACACAAGAGCATTAAGGTCACTCCAGACCTAACGCTCAGTCAACGTTGTGTAAGAAGACGTTAAGTAATAGAATTGCATGATAGTGTTACGACAAAAAACCAGCTAGAGACAGTTTGCAACAGCAGCCTCAGCAGAAATAGGTCTCAATATACACAAAGGAAAAAGTAAGATTCTCCGATACAACACAGAATGCATCAATCCAATCACAATTGACGGAGAAGATTTGGAAGATGTAAAAACCTTTACGTATTTGAGCAGCATCATTGATGAACAGGGTGGATCTGATGCAGATGTGAAGGCGCGGATCGGCAAAGCAAGAGCAGCATATTTACAACTGAGGAATATCTGGAACTCAAAGCAACTGTCAACCAACACTAAAGTCAGAATTTTCAATATAAATGTCAAGACAGTTCTACTGTATGGGGCAGAAACCTGGAGAACTACGAAAGCCATCATCCAGAAAATACAGGTTTTTATTAAAAGTTGTCTACGCAAAATACTTCGGATCCGTTGGCCAGACACTATCAGCATCAACCTATTATAGAAGAGAACAAACCAGATCCCAGCGAAGGAAGAAATCAAGAAGAAGCGCTGGAAGTGGATGGGATCCACACTGAAGAAAGCACCCAGCTGCATCACCAGACAAGCCCTCACATGGAATCTTCAAGGTCAAAGGAGAAGAGGAAGACCAAAGTACACATTACGCCGAGAAATAGAAATGGACATTAGAAAAATGAACAAGAATTGGATGGAAGTTGAAAAGAAGGTTTAGGATAGAGTGGGTTGGAGAATGCTGGTCGGCGGTCTATGCTCCATTAGGAGTAACAGGCGTAAGTAGGTAAGTAATTAGTTTAAAGCGCATGAACAATAAATATGATGTCATTCCATGAACGTCAGATCACTCTATAGATCTAGATGGGTCTGCAGATCATAAACCTTTGAATAAGATACAGATTCCAACTCTCACAAAAATCACAACGACATTTCCTAACCCTTCTGTTCGCGCAGTAAAGTAATTAAATGTGAGCCATATGAAGACAAACATCCAGATAAACTTATTCACTTGAAAGTTAGTCCTTCTAAAGGTGCTTTACAAGATGACTATTGGTAGGCTTGAGTGTAACAGACCTTTTCGCATGCAGACTATCAAAATCTATCAGAGTACCGATCACTTCGCTCAACACCTGAAGCCTGGAACCGTTAATAAGTATGTCAATAATAGGTTTCTCACCCCACACACTATCTGCTTTCTCCAGGATTCCAATTGTAATTACACTCAAAAAGAAAACCCTCTACATCTTTCGGCACCAACCCACCACACACAAATAGCTCCTTTGTATAATAACGAGCTACTGAAGAGCAACCAAGTTCTCATTTTTAACACTTATTACACCCCTAAGGGTTATGGACTGACCATAATATTCCAACTTAAGTATATCTCTTGATATATACTTCCTATATCGAAGTGCCTTATTCACGCTTACTTTAGCTTAAACTCAGTATTATGTGATATTCCTGAACTAAACAAACTGCAGAATTCTGTGTGGATTGTTTTGAAGCTTTCGAATTACATTTCCTTACTGTTCGGCTGTGTCTACTGTTAACCTAACGCATCAATGGGTGAAATAGCGGTATTATCAGAGGTATCCACACTAGCGTCATCCCTTCCATTCGTAGACAAGCCTATTTGTGGTATTTTCAATATGCCTGCAATTTCGTGGTCTACAGTTAAAACATCGGAAAGTTATGGATCATTTTTTGAATGTCTAGAGCTTGAAGAGTGGAGCCATTATGTCAGTAGCCCTACAAGAAATCAAAATATCCTAGACTTGGTCTTTATCGAAGGCCGAACCCCAATATTGCGTATATTGGTAAAAGATTTCCAGGTAGCTACTACGACACTGTCATGTGTAGCTTTATATAGAAACCACAAGAAGTAGACGTAAAACTGCAGCTCTTCGTAGGAACTAGCCAAGGTCTATCGGATAAAACTTCCAGAATTACCTAATAAGCATTGATTGAGGAACCTCCTTTAAAATACCGACATACTGACTAACATATTCTATCACAACACCAGAAGTATCTTCAACGAAATCTCACCTTTAGATTACTGGAAAGCTAAGTTTTCTGAAGATCTGTATACACCGGTCTATACGCGAAGACATCTTCAAAGACAATGTACTCGATTCCTTAACCTTAATGACCTTTCCTCCTTAGTTACGATAACAGAAATAATAGTTTGGACAGAAACAATACGAACACATAAGCAATCGCGCAGGGAAAACATGCTATCGAAATTAATAATGACTCCCCTGCACTTATCAAGCTCTTTTAAAGCAAACTTGCGTGCACTAAATCAAAAGGAGTAAACGCACTTATAAAAACAAACCAGTGTATGAAAATCCTAAACTTGTTACGGAATTATTTAGTGAACACCTGTGCTCCTCAGTACTTTCCTGTGAAATTACTAATGTTAACTTGAATGGACAGAATATTTCTAAGGTAATCAGCACAATAATACATTCCTACACGGATGAACCAGATGGTATTCCGGCTAGCATGCTAAAAAGTGGAGGTGATGATCTGTGTGTTATACAACGTGTTACCTCACTACCTGGAAAACTACACATATCATTCCCGAAATCGAGACAGGACCTGAAGTAAATGTTGAAAATTATCGGTCCATGAACATAATTTCATTGGTATCTAGAGTGATAGAAAAACTAGTTAAGGAGGCAGTATTTCAACATCTACTTACTAATAATCTCATCTCGACCTCCCGGCTTGGGGTTCTTAGGTCTAGATCATGCGATACATGCCCAGTAGACTACCTGATTGATATGAGCCTAGAACGAAACAACGGACTCCTTGTATTAGTTCTATTCTTAGACTTTAAGAAAGCTTTTGATAAGGTCCCACACAAAAGGATTCTCGTCAAATCAAAGTCCTTCGGAATCAACAGCCCGCTATATTCATGGTTTTCCTCATTTTTAACAGAACGTAAGCTAATAGTAAAGTACAAAGAATCTCTCTCAACACCTAGACCAATAACTAGTTGAGTCATCCAGTGGAGTGTATTGGGTTCACTCTTGTTTCTTATGTATAGAAACGACATATGCAACACCACAAAATTTGGGAGATCATACCTAGATGCCGATGATCTTTAAATAGCACACAGTTTAAGCCTGAAGCTCCAAGTGAAAGCGTGTCCCAGATTTAAGTGATCTCAATAACCTAACTATCTAGAGCGAAATATGGTAATTACCATTTAACCCCTACTGACTTGAGACAAACGCTGCAAGATATACAAACCGGCAAATCACTAGAAAACTGACTAGTATATGTGTAGTCGAGTGGCTAGACTACTACCAGTTGAACATAACTGAATATCTGAAATTGTATCGAAATAAAACGAAGCGAGCGCAAAGAAATCAATTGGATATTGCATATCCGCGAACAATGAAACAAGGTCAGACCAAAGAGAAGCGGGGTACTATTCATAAAAGGTAATTACATCTTCCTTAAGTATTTTTTTTTCCAGTTCACAGCATAATAGTAAAAAAGGAAATGGAAAAAATACTAAAAAAGCCAAGTTTCATGAGCTTATAGCTCGACAAAAGCAAATAAAAGACGTTCGTTCTATTGTTTTAGGTTTTTTAATTAATAGATAAAAATTGAAAAGAAGAAGGCGATAGAGAAAAAACGAGAAGAGCGTCTTCACAAACGTAAAGAACGTAACATCTCAATGCAGAAGTTGACAAGAAAAGGACAGCCTGTCATGAAACACCGCATTAAGCTACTCCTTAAACAGTTGTGTCCTGGAGATGCATAAATAAATTTTGTTGATACCATTTAGTCTCTTTTATCCGTGATGCTTAATTTTTGGTTGCTGATAAGTTAGTGAAATGGCCAAGTGTCTTACTTGGTAAGGATTGATTCTTCACAAGCATACTGAAATGCAACGAAATTTGCTTTGCGATAGGTTAAAAGTAATTTTGTTTGTTGACAGATGAGAATAACTAAATTATTTTCAAGCCCTTAGGTAATGTTTTTACATTTCCCACTAAATTTCGGTATGTAAAATCTCAGTTGTTCCTGGTCAAGAAGATGGTAATTTATATATTTTATCATGACACGCAGCCGGTTACATAAAAATCAAAAAATTAAAAACTGCGAAATATTATTCTTGTGAGTTGGGAAATATACGCTGGTATTGCAAATGTGAGGAAGTAAGGGAGTATGATAGTGCAATCAATAAACAAGTGAACGGAAATAATATTTGATAGAAATGTAGCTGAAAAAGATTTCTTTCAGTTTATGATACTCATCTCGATTCCATGAATTGTAACAGAAACTGCTGCAGAATCACCGATAACTTCTGTCTTATGCCATACCTGATAACGTCTCAAATCACTGAGTTACATGGCTGTTGGAACCTTAAATAAAGTCACAGTGGGCTGGCAGATACAAGTCGTATGCAGTTATCTTTCATACCATGACTCTATGCCATGAACCGGTTTTTCTTATCTTCTTGTACCCAATTCTATCTTTGGTAAACAATGCCCTTTATGAAAGCCACTGATGGAACGTAACTAAACCAAAGTCGACGTTTCCAGGTGATTATATCGTCTGAATTATCATCACTCTCGTAGAAAAATTGACGAACCTCGGGATTATTGATGTAGCATCGCCAACGTATGCCAGCATTTCTGCAGAAATAACCATGTCCGAAGACTGAAAGTCTCCACACATCCTTAGTGCAGACATTAAACTGAACTGTTTTCACTTATGTGCTGTGAGCTCGAACGTTTGCAGCTGAACCAACACCACGACGGCGTCAAAAACGGCTCAAATTGGCATAAGGCTCCTAGGTTTTCTAAAAACACAAATTGATCTCATTTGTCACACCACAATCAAGGATTCAGATAAGTGAACGTCTCGACTTTCTGACGATTCATCATGAGTGAGTACTAGCATTGATTCTCACTAGCCTTGTGAAGGTACTTCCAATCGTAATGACACAGAACACGTCCCATATTTACGGACAATGTCAACTGATCAGTTGCGACTCGAACAGCTTGTCAATTATTACTCGGTAGCAAAATGTCAACTGGAACTTGGAATTGTTCCCGTCTCTGATCATTCTTTCTGTTTTTATGCCTTGATTTAACCAACTAGAAGTCTTAGTCAATCAGGAGAAATATCAACCTCTGATTTTCTTTTGCCCACCTATCCTATCGGTGTTGTAATAATATTCGGGAATAGAGTTGACAATTACCTGAAAATCTGGGGATTACTAGACAAATCGTGTTAAGTATCTGCTTATAGCTTTTTCCCTGAAATTTTCGAACCACAAGGAAAATTTTGTTAGTGTTACACTCAATAGGGACTTCAGTCCTATCTTGTGTAAGTAGTATCCCCTCTTTAAAAACTTTTTAACTCAGGTATCTTCTGCTTTCAATCCCTGTTAGCGAATACAATTATAAGGTATACATTCTCCCGGTTGCTATCAATAAGTGGCTTTGTATTAATATTCCGATCACCACAAGCCAAAAATATCTTTATAACACCATCGTTGCGGATGAATATGTCCACAAAATTTTGCTTACATTATTCCATAATAAGAGATTGAGAGATGAATTCCACTACTTCAGATCACTTAAGTAAAAGATCCTATTTATGAAACGTGCCATTTTAGCATAATAAAAGTACCAACAATGGTCTTCTGTAGTAGTACACATTTCTGAAGTCTATTTGAGAACGATGATCATTGAGACCACTCATTCTTACTATATCTCGCTACTAATAAGTGGGAATAATGGTACTGGTGTGATTAAAAATACTGATTATTGACAGCAGAGTGATTATGTTCTTTTTTGTTGTACTTAATCCACAGTTTCTATAACAATCACAGTCGTAACATATTCCATCATCTGACATTTTTGACCCAAATCTAGTTGTGATTTAAAATGAGTTTAAACTTGTACTGTATGCTATACTCTCATTGTCTACTAGAATACATTTTCTTGAGAAGTCTTTTTGTAATCATAACTTGCGGATTTATTTGATTTATCTCCCAATGTTTGAATGTGAACAGCATCAAACTTTGACTGTGATTAGCATATACAAAGAATCAGTGTGCGATGATTATCTTGTCATTTTGCATTTCACTTAAGCCTCACTCTCGGTTTGTGATATAAGCTTCGGAAAAATATGAAAAGTACACTTCCGCATCAAGGCTATTCACGCCATGTTTACAGTCTTGAAGTTATTGAAACATGTTGTTCATTTTTAAAATATTTGACTGTTATGTGGAAAAAAACAAACTTTTTTTTTATAAAAGCTAGATATAGACTGGTGTATTTTGGGGAGAAGTAATAACTTTATGTGCATCAATTTATTAGTCATACAAAGTCGTAAAACTATTATGTTGTAATTATATACTACTAATAGCGTCTTAGTTTTCCCTTTCTATTTAAATCGTTTTCCTCCATCTTGTTTTTTCAACTCACAGACTAAAAAAAGAAATCTAAACATATTCCTTGGTTCTCATAAGAACAGATGGCTATAAATGAATTATTTTAACAAGCGTTAATAAGCGAACTGTAACATCATAGTCTCTCTCTCTCCATATATATATATATATATATATATATATATATATATATATATATATATATATATATATATATATATATATAAAGACTTTCATTTCATCCCTTCTTAAAATTCTTGCATGCTAAAGAGACACAATACAGTAATAGACCACAAAACTAAATATTATTACATTTATCCATCAAATATGCAACAAACAACTAACAATAATAATAAATCATCCAGGTAAATTGTTTCTGTTTTTATGATGTTTGTGTTTTCTTCGTTATGTTTTTACTCTAAAAAAACATTATCACGATTATCGTTCTTACTGTTGTTGTCGTTGTCATCGCTATCACTATCATCTTGAATAAGATTGAACAAAATCTGATCATTATTCAGTGGGAAAATGTCTGCTTTTTTCCACTTCATTATAATGAGGCAATTAAACTCATCTTCTGTCTTATACGGAGTTTTAATTTCATTTTAGTTTTGTTGTTGAGCTTCTTCTCTCATGGCTTACTAAAAAAACAGTTTGTTATATATATATATATATATATATATATATATATATATATATATATATATATATATATATATATATATATATATGAGAAGAATAAATAATTTTATTCATCTGGAAGTATGTTGAAAAATTTCCCATGGAATTAAAACTGAAACATAGTTTGCCAATTTGTTTATTCCATCATATCATGCTATTAGTACTACTATTATTACTATTAGTATTAATTACAACAGTAATAGCAATAATCTAAAAAAAACTAATAATTCTGTTAATAATAATAGTAATGGCAAATTATGATGAGCGAACATTTTTAGTTTGTCTCAAGCAGATTTATTAACTTGAATTTGTTACAGGACCACAATTATTTAAATAACAATAGTAAATAGTGGTTACAAGATATTCTACATCTATGATCGGAATACCAACCATGTAAATGATATATATATATATATATATATATATATATATATATATATATATATATATATATATATATATATATATTTGTAATATGCGAAAATCCATTCATTTTAACGGACATAAGTTTTTCTTGGAGCTTTGATATATGATAGGGTACGCGAAGTGTATGTAATAACCACTGTATGAATGAAATGTTGATAGGGAGAACTTTTCAACTTAATTGGATTAGTTTCTCAGTGTTGCTTTCTTTCAGATGAATAGTTTGAACTGGTTATTTAAATAACTAGGCAATTAGATTTCTAAAAGTAGGTTTAATTAGTAAAGATTTTTTTAAAGTCAGTCTGAATAACTCCATAGAATTAAACATGAACGATTATCACTGAGGAATCTGATATGTAAAAATAAATTAAGTTCAACTAGATGAAATGTTCAACAAAGTAGATGATCGATTTTATTTATTTCATTTGATCAGTGTGTGTTGAGTTTTTTTCAACTTGAAACTTTCGAGTGATTTACAGATATTTATTGACAAATACAAATGTTATTTAAGTAACATTTTACATGCATTACATAATTGATTTCATCAACTTCTTTAATAACTCAAAATCATTGGTGGGTTTGATCGATATATGTGTTAGTGTCGTGATCAAGAACACGGGTGGGGACAACCGGATGTATTTGACACAAAATTACAGAGCATCTCAATAAAATCTGAGAACTATATATCAAATCGTTAATTTGCAAAATGTCCACCAATTGTTCCAAAGTGCCTCAGACTTCATTGCCCTTGCCTTCTCATACAAATTGCATTCTATTCCCGCTCTTGCTTTATTGATCTTCCCTCATCTTCTGCTGTCGGACATTACATTCCTGACTCGCATACTATACTACTTATATCAATATAATTATCACGCACCATGTTAGTTATATAACAATATATCATGTAAAAGTTCGTAGAACACGCATACCGATTCATAGGGATGATCAAATTGATAAAAGTTTGTTTTTCAAAATTTGTAAAGTATCTCTTACAAAACTAAAACTTGTTAGAATTAAGGGAAATAAGAAGCATCAGATATTCAAATTAAATTTGTTTATTGTAACTGTCATTTTTTTCATCGATAATTACAAAAATTTCACAATTAATCAATCACACAGATTTTAGGTGAAATGCACTAGACAACAAATTTTGAGATGACGAAGAATATCTGAAAATGAAGAGGAGAAATTTGTAGTTGTATTCTCTGAATTTGATGCATTATTCAACAAGCATTTATTGTCTTTTTAGACAGAATTATCAACACGCACTTCAAGGTTAATTGATGTATTCGAATTTCTAACCAAGTGATTAGCATTTTTTTGTTACCAGGGCGACTGGTTAGTTATTGTCCATAGTTTTGCTGTTACTCTTAACATAATTATTTTAATCGTCTTCTCCTATAACCTGATCTATGATCTTGTAGTTGCTTATCATTTTCGAATTATCTGATAGATTGCGTCTATTTTGATATATTTTTTTGATTACATGAATGTTAGTCGGTTGTTAAGGACAACGACATATTTTCGCTTTCAGTAATGAGTATGAACGATTGGTAGTATGAAACCAAATGGGAACAACATAGACAGTTGAACGGGGGAATTTTTAGAAGCCTAGCAATGAGATCAATCATTAGTCAGTAGTATTTCTATGATAATCCTTATAATGAAGCTTATTACATGGTTCTGAAAGACTAAACACTACTTTTAGACATGCACTATGATTTTCTCAAACTGAATGGGTAGCAATGACAAAGATGTATTTCAAAAGAATCTAAGGTGATATCAAGGACTACTATTAAGAACCGTAGGAAAAGTCACCAATGATCAATGTTTTTCTAAAAGATATATGTTAGCAACTCATCCCAAACCCTGTTTAAGTGTGTCACGGTCGGAGTTTTATCAAGCTAGACATTTGCTTTAATTATCTATCTACTCATCAGCCGGAAAAAACAGTTTCTGATAATATATAACCGGTCATTTATCCATCAAAGACAATTGAAGATGGTTTTGCAATGTCTCGAATTGATTGATCTAAAGGTTGAACTCTCGCCACGAGACATGGTGATCCTGAGTTCGATCCTCACCGGGGTTGCTGATATGCACTGTTGAAAGTCCCATACTAGGGCGAAAAAAGTGTCCAGGGATTCCTGGTCTTCAATAGTTATCTACGTTAAGTCGGTTCATGATCTCAATAATAGTGAGTAATTTCCGCAAACCCCCCTACTCACATTTAATTATCATTGACGCAAACAGTTGCTTTCCATGACTGATAATTTGTGTCTTCTGTTTTTATTTTCTCTGTGAGATTATGTATTCGTTGTGGCTATTTATCTTCTTTAACAATAACGCATTCTACTTGTAGATCCATAAGTATGGTGAAGCTTTTTGAATCGTCTACATATGGTTCATTTTAATTACAAATACAGTTTTAAGTAATGTAAAATCCTAAATTCAGTAATCAGAAATACCAACAATTGTAATAGAACACGTACGATCACATAATGAATTTTCAATTTACATGAGGACTAAATCGATAATTAAACTGTAAACCATACTTTAATGTAAAACCTAGATACGATCGTACCTATCGGCTTTCTTCAGCCATCTAATATATTTTCGATTTTAGTTTGTTTTGTAACAAGAAAAAAGAAATACAACCTTAAATCATTAGGAAGAATCTATAGATAGTTGAACAATAGTTTAATTTTAGTTTAAATTGACTTATGAGATGTATACATTTTCCTGTATGTTATTAGACAAAAGAGTTCGTTTTAATATTTTAAGGTAACCTTAAAATTAAACATTCACATGAAAGTCGAACATTTCAAAAAGGTATTTGAATAAAATAGAATGAATCAACCTATAAACTCTATATAAAGCAAAATACATCGTATCCTATTTGAAGAACCTGTGAAGTGATCAGTTTTGATATTTCTTAACTTTCGTCAACAAATTGGCTTTCATTTTCCGTGTTCACAAATAACTTTATTCAGTTTTCTGTTAACAAGTATAGCCCAATTATAAAAGTTTGGGCTTTAATATAAACGTTTCGTTACAGAATGACTTCACTAAAACAGGTGTCTATTACTGAGGAGTCTCAGACTAAGGTGAAACAGTCGTCTCAAAATCAAAATTTATTCTTCGTTTCCTACCTTATTACAGGTAAATTAATTTAGCATTGCTTATTGGCTAATACTAAGCAGAATTCACGAAACGGAGAGAGAGAGAAGATAATAAATTCCTCTATCCAATGATATTTGTATTTGTATTTCCTTTAATATACGACAGACAAAAATATGAAAATTTTTCTTTTACCCTAGTGACACAAATCTGAACTTTATTAACATTTTATAGGAGCAAGGAGGTGGGTGTTTAGGTTAGTTGAAAAGATCGGTAAATCATGGAACACACTGAATGAAGAAGCAAGTGTGAATAGGAAGTTACAATGATGAAAAAACACACAACTTAAAATAGACCTTATGTGAATTTCAATTCTGCATTACGTTAATTCTCATTAAGTATTTACAACTGGATCTTGTTGTCAAGACAATAATGATTTTTTGAGGTATGCCAAATTTACTTTGAGAAAATTCAACATTAATTGTGAATAATTTCTTTTTATTTATTACCTTTAATATTACCTTTAATTATTAGCCTGTCAGTGAAATGTTTAACATATTGCTTTTATCATAATAAAACAAAATCATCCTATAAGTATATTTTATGAACACAATAAATCTAATAATTTGAAAGCATTATCATTGGTTTGTGATGGGAACTTGTGGTAGACCTTTTCGCATGCTAAGCGAGCGAGAGCCATAACAAAGCAATTTTGACACGTATGGAAGATGGCTGGGAAGCCAACTTCCATACGTGTCATTTTTGCTTTCCTATGCTTCATTCGCTTCATGTACGAAATATATGTATTCTCAAGTCAATTCTCGTTATTCGACTTATTTAATTCCGTTATTGGATAACGCGATTTAAGTCGACGATGATATACGAGAATCAGCGATAGCAAACATTCATACAATCATTCGTACGCTCTAAATGGAGTCAGGTCAACGGGCACAAAAAACTAAAGATAAGTGGATGATTCTTTTGTTTTCATTTAAGTTTCCCCCCACAGTGTATATCTATAACCCAGAACAGAATGAAACTTAGAACATACAGGTTTGTAATTTGTTATTACCATAGAATCTCAATATAAGATGAAATATAAGTTTAGTGCTTCATCTATTTTTCTCAGCAGTTATTTCTTCATTGATGAAAACTGTCTTAAAAACAGTACCATTTCTTACTAAAATCATCAAAGCAAGTAAATCGAATTTGTTCTAGTAAATTACTGTGACTTATTATTTTCAACATACATGGTATATTGAAGGCAATCACAGCTTTGATTAAGTCATTTTAATTATATAATTAAAAGGGACTGAATGAACTAAGCTTCAAACAGATTTCCTTTTAATGGAATTTAATTGATCAGAAACCTGGCAAAGTTACGATCTTCAGCTTCCAAGGAATTTTACTAATATATATAATATATAATAGCTTACTTTAATCAAATAACATAAAATGTAGAGTTACACCCTTGAAAGTTCTTATCCGATAAATAATTCATTATAATATATTGGCTGGCTACTTCGATATAAATGACAATTATATTCTATTTTAAATATTCTTAGTTTTTTTTCTTCTATAGGTAATCAAACTGTTGTTATTCGTTAAGTTGAAATCTAAAACAAAATATCTATTTTATCAACTTAAGTCATTGATAATGGATTCATAGAAGTATTTTATTAGGCGGTTGTTTTGTCGTTATAATAGACATCTCATTCAAGAAAAAATATATTCTGTCAACTAATTTTGAGTGATTCTGCAGTAAATATAATCTGGAAAAGGCCCTACTAGAATACAGAGAATCGCTTTTTACATTGCTAAGTTGAAAAATCTTATTCTGTTCTCTAACTGTATTTCAATTTGAAAAGAACTTAACAATGAGCCTGAATTTATTACTGTGTATTTCTAAAAAAAATGATCGAAATACTTTACAAAACGATTCACATTAGTAAAGTAAGAAAGCAGATCCCACTTTAGCTATGTAGTAAAACACTTCGTGAATATTGATCCTCATAGGAGATTGCTTAAACTGTCTTGCATCAGCTATGATCAAGATGACTCTAAATAAGTACAGAAAAATGATTTCTTAGGTGATAAAGTATCAAAAGTTCATTATCTTAAACTTTTAAATTTTATAACTAATAGAGTGGATTATATCTACTGAAATACAGACAACACTAGATTATGTTAACAAACTTCTCTTTAGATTTGTATCACATTTTTACTTGTGAATTTTAACTACTTATTATAATTATACAAGTAGTTAAATAATAAACTTGCTATGAGAAACCGATCTGTTCAACAAAATTGGTCATTCCAAATAATTTATAGGTTATAAAACTCCAAGTAGAACTGCTTAATAAAACAACTGAGTGAAATCGCCCAACATGATGCGTGTTTACTTAATGGCGACTGTTTGAAATTGAGAGGAAATTTCTGTAATTGTATAAGTCAAATGACTGCCGCTCATTCTTACACATGATGATATAGTTATCTGTTAACCTATCAAATTACTTTAGAAGGAATAAATTCAACCAGAATCAGATTACTATATCAATTCTCAGCTCATGGATACTGTATTTATTTACCCTAGTTGATTAGTTTTATCACCAAGTAATGATTAAATATATGAATAATTGTTTGTAAAATGGTCTGATGATTTGAAACCACCATTGAGTACCCATGAAATTTAGTAAATCTATTTAAAGGAATTTAAAGTTCATTCATCTGAATAAATAACTATCGTCTCTCGAGAATGGATATGGAGTATATTACATGGACAGCTGTTTATAAATACATGTGGATTTTAGGTGTTGGTACTGGGAGTTATTTCAGGTTCAGTTGTATGCAGAAGAATTGTTTTAATGGTTGTGTCAAAATTTATGACTTTAGTGTTGGTTGATAGTTGTTTTGTTCTTCGATTATAGGAATGTTGGCAGCGTTTTGTTGATTCGTCTCTTGACACTAACATGAGGTCCTTCTTGTTTACCAGTGGTAGCGTCGACTTATGTGAATGCTTCCAATTATTGTTGATCTCCGCTACCAATTGTGATTTGGTTGACGCTCGCTTTGTTGTGCCTCAGGATCTTGATCTTATCCTTGTGAATATTGAGACGTTTCTCTGTAGAATCCACTGCTACACTATCTGTCTTCATCTTCATTTTTTCCGCATATGCTATTTGTATTCCATGTACCTATATTGCAATAGCTGTCAGAAGGAGCATCAAACTTGCGACTGTCGTAAAAGTCTCAGCTTTCAGTAATAGGAGTCATAACTTTTCTAAATAAAGACCTTTCAACTCCCAAAGCAGAATTTAAATGACTAAATAATTTTTATGGTTAGAGTCTTTTGGGAAGTTTCTTTCCTATGGGATGCGGTTGCTAACCCCACGCCCAACCCTTCTTTGATATATACGTTTGGGACTGGCTGTAACCCTAGAAGGTCTTCAAGTTAATTTGGGTGAATGGGGGTATGATTTAAAAAATGACAACACTCTCGTGAACTTGCTTACATATACCAGAATGTGTTACATGTTATTGAATCTAAGACAGATAACTATGGCTACTTGTTCGCCGGTAGTAACGATAATATCTTTGATCCCAGTTTTAAACACTGTCGATTCGAGTAAACGAGTATCCACTGTTAGGGAGGGTCAATATGAAAATAACAATTACTGAGATACTTCCAGTTTTCCTAAAAATACGTTTGACAATTTCCATAGGTCAAACCATGTATTTTTCTTATTTAAACAATCATTGAAATCTAGGATGTACTGGATAGCTGATCTTAAGCCGTACGTACCACTAACACCACCGCTGAGGATCAAACTCAAAACTTTCAGGTTTCGTGGTGAGGGCTTTAACTCTAGACCACTAAGGTGGCATTCAATAGTGTACATTTTTAACTGGGTTTAATTCACTACACTTTTCTACAATTTATCTTATTAGTATATTTCAACTAGTACTCAAAAATCAACTAACGTCTATATTCGAGTAGTTATTCATACAATCTATGATTTACTCTGGGAAATCATCATATAAAGTTTTCCGGTACAGGATTACAACTAGAAGATATCGCATCAAAGTGAAATTGAATAGCTAAAACTAAAATTATTGATTACTTACTTATGAATGAATGGATTTATACACAATTTCTACAGGGTTTAACTTAACTACATGACATTGATCACTACCCAGTGATCAATCAACCGTGAATATATATATATATATATATATATATATATATATATATATATATATATATATATATATATATCATTTACAATAATTAAATATAGGCGTTCATTGCCAACATACAAACATGATTATGTCATACAGTTTATAATGTAGAGCTAATTATTTTCTTTTACAGATGTCTAATAAATTTATGATTACTGAAATTCTTCAAGATCCTATCGAAAAATCATCAATTACACTAAATAGCTCTTCAATTGATGTAAGTTATGCTTATTCTATATTTATAAAAATTAATCATTATTTCTAGTCTACTCCTTTAGTTACATATTTCATCAGTTCTGTATCAATTCGAAATCCACAGTGTACAGTTTCTACAATAAATAATTTCACATCAAATAACTTGGATTTATCCAACAGTATTCAACATACTATTTCATTCATAGATCATGATCATGCTGTTAAGCATAAAAACTATGAAATACAAATAGGATTGTGTTCCAACTCATTAAACTTATTCAATCCAAGGGTTTACACAAAGTATCTATCAAATTTATTTAAATCCGAATTGAATAATCACTTACTCAGTCAACCAACACAAAATGAGACTGAAAATCAAGTTGGATTAAGCAGCAATAATAATTGTTTAGAAGATTATTATTATTATTATCCTCATCATCATTCTATTAATGATAAACAATTAAAAGAAGAATTTTTAAAACTTTTCAACCTAATGATTTCCAAACAGACTAATGAATATAATTTTTCACAACCTAAACTATCTGAAGATGTTGAATGTAAAGATGATAATGATAACAGTTTGTTATTAGTAAATGATACTGAGAAAAATTCTTCACATAATTGTCCAAGTAAGTAAATGAATAAATATTGAATTGAAGAATTCTTCAAATTTAATCCATCATTTAATGTGAATATGTTTGCAATTTATTGTATCATCTAAGTCAGAAAATTTGGAAGGAAATTAATAATAGGTGAAGTTGGAAATATTAAGCGGGAGGTTGTATAATTGATTGAGATTTTGAACAGATTGATGTTATAACACCATTGAAAACCTGGAAGGACTGGACGGCCGTTTCGTCCTATTGTGGGACTTCTCAGAAGCGCACATCTACGATCCTGCTCGCGGGATTCGAACACAGGGCCTTCAGTATCACGCGTGAACGCTTAACCTACTTGACCAATGAGCCGCGCGAGACTGAAGGCCCTGGGTTCAAATCTCGAGAGCAGGATCGTAGATGTGCACTTCTGAGAACTCCCACAATAGGACGAAACGGCCGTTCAGTGCTTCGAGGTTTTCGATGGTGGTCTAACATCAATCAGTTTAAGATCTCAACCAATAACTTAGTAATCTCCACAACCCTATACTGGTTGTATAATTATCTGAATTTATGCTTGCCTAAATATTGGTATCAGCTAAATCTGTCATCTTCCATATAATGCACTGCTTTTGGCTGAAAAATCAGTTTAGAGAAAAACGATTAGAGTATTCAAATAACTGTGATGTTCGAAATTGAACTCAGTTATCTACAATTTCAAAGTACTTTATATACTATTACTTAATTGAGAATTCAAGTCATGAGAATCAGAATAGAGTTTATAAGGTTCTTTTTTAGTTGCAGTTTAAAGAAAAAATCTTCAAGTAAGTTGGACAAGGAATATTTAGTTTCTTTTAAAGGAATTCTAGTAGCAATAACAGATTGGAGCTGACAGACTATTGTTATAAGTTGATGGTCCCAAGTTTCACACATTCATTAAACATTCGATTAGGTTGATACGTTTCCCAACCGACGAAGTGAAGGGGAAGAATGAAGAATGACTATCAGGTTTTAACTACAAAACCGAAGCATAATACAAACAGATCGCAGATACATATACATTCGTCTCTCTGAACCTGATGAGACGGGAAAAGATTTTTTTGAGTTGTTTTGTCACTCATGTGATCATATCGTAATGTAGAATAATAGTTGTATTAATCTGGTCTGAGCACTGATTAGTTCACTAAAACTGCCTGTCTAGTACCAAGGTCCTTTTGCTAACCAATGATAGCACGAAAGTAATGAGAAAATAGCAGCAATCGATAATTAACGACTATTGGTTCAGAACATAGTTCTCCAACTCTCGCTCGACTAGTAAACTGAATAAAACATAGCACAATGCGTTAAAACCTTTATTTAGACAAATTAAACTTATGAATCGTCATATAATAATATTGAGTAAAACCATGACAACACATCAACATAGTTAAAAAGTTACAATATGAGCATACCAAGCCGTAAGTGTGGAGGAACTGATTAGCAGGCCCGTATTAAATTAACAGTAACTTATTGGTAGTACAAAGTAAAACATAGTTTATAAACCACATAAAACTTTACAAGCAGACAAATACAAAAACACAAGAATTTAAGAGCGCCATATGTGCATAGATTATCACAGCCTATAAGTACTTAAACTCTACAATCAGCTGTTACGTTTTAGAGAACTCATAACATGAATACAAAGTGCTGCCACCAAGTTACTTGTTCAGTGACTTAGTTTCTGTATTAAGCGAGTTTTAAGCGGTCATCTATTATTAACTGATGGGATGATATTCAGGTATGAGATGGCGGCAGATAAATCTTAAACCTATTTACATCAGATTTTGCCAACAGTATTAATTCTTCTGACAATGACTGAAGTTTAGTATGTTGTTCAAATAATAAACTAAGTTACCTGGCTCATTGATAAACACCGAATAGTATTTTAGAGTTTATTTCATGGTCTGAATTCATAGTGAGGATTTTTATACGAGATTGAGGATGAAAAATGTTCGTGTAAAGACTGGTTTAAAATATGAGGAATACTGGTTAGTTACTGAAGTTAAAAGAGGCTTGGTCGTGGAAAGAAACTGAAGCCTTCTTCGTTAACAATCTAAAGTTATACCAGCTGTAATACAAATCTTCAGGTATTATCCCTTCTTACAAAAACAGTATATGCATCATAAGGCCGGATGCTTTTACGTGGAATAAAGTCCTCTTGTAAATTTCATGGTCAACTTTTACGGATAAGACAGCTTGTTACAGAAGGTTATCTTAATGAAAGTACTAGTTAAAGTATATAACAAATGCTTATGTAACTCAATTATTAACTAAAGAAAAAATGCTGTCAAACAGAAGCAATAGCAGTAAAGATGTGTAGACATGAATAATTTATTTGAATAGGTTACGTTACACAAACCATCGACTTTTTATTGTCGAAGAGATGTTCTGGAAATAAAATAGTTGATTGGAAAACTGAAGAATAACTCTCAATAATGGAAAGTGTACAGTTACGTTTATTTAGTGAAATATTAGGAATATTTTAAGATGGATAGTGGCTAGCAGTGGAATCCAGGACGCGTGTTTCGCCCTAGTTGGGACTCGTCAGATCGATGTATATGCATCCGAGCAGCTATGTGGATAACGCCGTGGCGTTTGAAGCGAATGTTACTGGGTTCGAGTCACGGAGTGAACGTCAACTCTGGATGCAGGTACATCCATCTGACGAGTCCCAAATAGGATGAAAGGCGCATCCTAGATTATACTGCTAACAACTATCCATCTTTGCTTAAGAAGCTTGTGACTTAAGGCTATATCGAGGCAATCCACACAGGATGCACATATGCCAACAAGAGACTGATAGACTGCAGTCCTGAATAACAGTGGGAATATACAAGTAAAACAACACCAAGTGAATGTTAAGAATATTATTTTTATTTCATTAAATATAATTAACGTTTTCATTATAATAAGAATAAATGTAACAAATTATACCACATAAATATATATTTTTATAACAGAAAATCAAGCTCTACTGGTTACTAACTTAATTTTAGAAGTTCTAGATCTATCATCTTCGAAAATTAACCAAACTAATCGATCCAAACATCGGCGTAACTTATGGCCTAAAATATTCAAAGAATTGGAATTCAATTGTAAACCAATTATTGCAACTGAGGATTATCCTCAACGTAGCAGTAGTGGTAATAGTAGTAATCAATTTTCCAAACCAAATTATCTATTCGGTTATGAATCTTCTGACAGTTATACAAGTATGGTTGATATGGTTAAATCGGATGATGATCTATCACAAAAATGGTGTTTGGAATCTGATGCAAATACAAAAGCAAATAGTTACAATGAAAAACGGTTGATAAAAAGAAAATTTCGTAAAAGCTTTCTACCTAAAACTAATCAAACATTTGAATTCGAACGTAAACATAGACAAGCTTATTCAACAGATCAACTTGAACGTTTAGAAACAGAATTTGAAGTATGTTGTAACTTAATTCTTTGAAGTAATTAAGTCATAATTTTATTAACAAACGGCTTCACAAATTTCAGTATTTTATTTAACTTAAAATTCCAAACAACATGGAAAAGTATTTCAATTACATTAATTAAAGAACCTCTCTATGGTTATTTTCTATTCAAAGTATACAAAATGATTTAGACTGGTCAACTTGAATTCATTTCTAGTAGGCTTTAAAGTAAACAACGTGAAGCATCCTTGCTATCTAGTTGAAGTAACTTAGTTACAACACATACCACAATTGTAGTAATGAGTTGTACAAATTCACTTCTCTAAGTAACCATTTAGTAGTCTTAAGTGATCATGAATGTAGCTTCCTGATGAGAGTAAGAATTTTCTACTCAAATTTCACTCTGAAAAAAAACTCACTAAAATTAAAATATTTCATTTCCCTTGAAAATTACTTATCTGTCAGCTAACAAATTATTATCAAAAGTATTATTTTATTAACATTTATGTTAAATTTTATAAATAAAAGACCAGGAAGCAAAAGACGTCTGTTTTGTTTTAGTTTATAGCTCATCCAGAAACTAGTCGCGGTGGACTGAACCCGGAAATTTCAGTTTTGGGGGAAGAAGTAACTGTCCACCGAAAGTAATGGGAGATGGACTGATTGAAATTACATTTGTACATCACTGCATCCAGATTCTTTGGTCTAGAGGTTAGGTGTTCTCATGAAGAACTGACATTTCTGAGTTCGAGCTCTGGTAACGAAGTTGTGGACAACCACTGCTGAGTAGTCCCGAACTGGGACGAATTGAGCATCCTTTGCTTCCATATTTTCAAGGGTTGTTCAGCTTAAACAGGTTGGTAATTTCGATACGGTTCAACAATTTCCACAACCTTTCGTCCTGCAAATGATTACGGGCTCACTAATGACCAGCTTCAGTTGGTGATTTCCGGAGTCCTTATAAGAAGCCGTAACCAGTGGAGATTAATTGTGTCGGCTTTGAAGATAGCACAGACGGTTATCCACTGCTTTTATTGAGTTACATTGACATTATTATTTTCGTACGACTAAAATATTATATTTTAACAGTAACTATAAAAAGTAGTAGTAAGTTTTGTTACGAAGGGATATCAATAAAGAATAAAAAAACAGAAAATATTGGATAGTTGTTTTATTTTTAATTTAGATCTTTTTAGCTTTATCAACCCTCAGATCAACATAATATCATGCAATATACCTTTGTTTCTTGTAGTGAAGTCATTATATGTAGATAACTAGGTCAAAATCCAGTAATCTATACCCATAACTTTCGCCAATCCTCAACATAACACAACTATCATTCTCTGACCTAGTTGAATCCATATATTACTAAAACTTATGGATGATGATGCTCGATGGTGTTCGGTAGCTAAAGACAATCACAGGGACCGTTAGATTGAAGCTTTGAACGAGTAAACATTTGTCACTGACGTATGTTTGAAATTTCGAGGTAATTAATACTTTACGTAGCTTTCAGGCTTGCTTAATCCAGTTTCTCAGTCAGAGAAGTCACCACCAAGTTATCTGGGTCACAGCTCACCTTGTGGTGCATGCTACTTATGTTGACACATATGTGTTATGAAACAATAATCAGAAGTGGAATGCTTGGCAGCAGAAGACTGATAAGATCGAACTGAAGAGAACGGGAAGGGAAACAGAGGGGAATCGGAATAAGTATGTAGAGGACTACTGATGGAAGGTGTGCAAATGATATATTTAATTTATGGTTTTCATATTCTACCAAGGCACTGTGATTTTGCATGAAACAATAAATTGGTTATCTCCACTACATTTTCATTCACTACAACCTTATCTAGGAATGATATATTAACACTGACTGGTTAATAAGCATCTTTGTCTAGTCATTAATTGTTAACCAAATTTGATCGATCAAGTTATAAAGTGATCATTTCATAAAAATCATATTGGTTACTAGTCAATAATCAATCAGTGTGATCTCTAAAATTGAATACAAAACTGTATCTCATCCGTAGTCCTTGTTCTATTTTTCATCATGTAATTCATATTCTGTGCTGTATAATAAATCAATAATTTTAATATTTAAAAAACACATAAATTCTAAATAAAATTTAAATTATGCACGAAAATGTAAATTTATTTACAATAGACTAAATAATTCTCATTGAAATTACATAAAAATTGAAATAAACATTAAAACAAACAAACAACAATGAACATAATTGTAATTCATGACTTAAAACTTCACTAATACGATATTACTGAATATTATTATCATTCTTATACATGTATATATCAACTGGAGTCCTAAATAACAATGGGAAGATATAAGTAAAACAACACCAAGTGAATTTAAACTTTACCCCATTGCACAAGTAGGTGGCTATCAGGGCTCAGTAGGTAAGTGAATAAAACGATGGCATTTGAAGCGAACGTTACTGCGTTCGAGTCACGAAGTAAACGTCAACTCCGGGGTGCAGTTACATCCAGTTGACGAGTCCCAAATAAGACGAAACGCACATCCTAGATTCCACTACTAACCACTATCCATCTGTATTTAATAAGCTTGTAACTTAAGGTTATATCGTGGCAATTCACACAGGTTGCACATATGCCAATAAGAGACTGATCAATTGCAGTCCCGAATAACAATGGGAATATACAAATAAAACAACACCAAGGGAATATATATATATATATATATATATATATATATATATATCAACTTCAAAAGTAATTTTTATGAAATACAACTGAAATGTGTATTATTTTACAAAGCAAACTGAATATATTCGAATTTTCTAATTGTAGTTGTAAGTTTATAATTATGATGAGTTCAGTGAAAGAAAATTTGGATTCATGTTCTTTTGAAGTTATATAGTAATCATGAAAATTTCAATAAGATATTAGGTTTTTCAAATAATTTATGAGAACAGTAGATAAGATAGAATATAGATCATCAGTCTTTTGATTACCATATGGAATATTAATCAGTTTATTTGGAAATGATGACGTGAATCAGTTTGTCTTGTTGATATTTGATCGCATTAGCTGATAAAAATACCAATGGTTTTGAATCCGTATTATGTAAGTCGAATTGGCTAATACTTATTGAGCATAGAGAAATCATTGTTTAGCTACTTTTATAAACATTCATTGTAGTTTTACAAAAAATATTTCAAATGGTGTACATGCCACTGAAATAATAGTCTATGAAATAGCAATAGTGTGATCTCATTTTAAAGGTCTAAAATCTTCTTAGCTCCTTTTTTTGGCATTAATATTTTCACTCGGGTTACTTCGCCCCTAAATGCCCTGGTCGAGATTGGCGAGAGTCAGCTCTCTCTTTCGAAATGCTCTCACATGGCCACGTGCATACAATCATTGCTAGGAAAGTCCTACTCACCGCCTTCTCACGGTTGAGGTGTTGTTTACGAAATTAAGAGGCGAACTTTAACCGGGTTGGTGGACACGAAGGGTCAACCTAGGGGAATCGGAAAACACTGATTCCAAACCAATGATGTACATTAGCTCTAGGATTTTGATAGGACAAATGATGTATGAACCAATTGTTGGTCATCGGCTACCATGGGACTGAATATCCTGACGTTGTTCCACTACCTTGTGGATCATACCTTTAGGTCGAAGGCTCCGGGTGTGGTCCCCTAAAAACCATCTGCTTCGGTCTGGGCAGCCGAACAGTATACGAACCCACACAAAAATCGAATGATTTATGTGGTGCATTTATATTTGGTGTCTCCTTGTACTCATGTTTATGTGTTTAAATAAATAAATTTTAAACTTCAACTTATAAAAGCGTAGTTGAAAAAATAATAACTGATCGATCATTTATTCTCAGTTTAGTTTCATTTGTTAATAATTAACAAAAAGATTTTTACAGGATGAGTTCAATTTACACACTCATTCATTTTATTGTACAACTTGATAATAAATTTGTTGAAAAGGGATCCCTTCACTGAACTTCGTGTTTTTAATATTTAAATGGGAATTATCTATTAATTGACATTAGTCATCTAAACATATTTGGATTGTAATTCTAATAGTTGAGATCATGAGTCAATTGAAGTTAGACCACCATGAAAAATCTGAAGGCAGTGGATAGCCGTTTCGTCCTATTGTGAGACTCTTCAACGGTGCGCATCCAAGATTACACCTCGCGTGGTTTGAACTCAGGGCCTAGAGGTTAAGCGTTTGCGCGCGAGACGGTCCAGTGCTTCCATGTTTTCCATGGTGGTCTAACTTTAATTGACTCATGATCTCAACTATTAAAATTACTAAAATATCCATAAAACCCCTTCTGATATAAATTAATTGGTAAAAGATTCTTATTTAATGAAACTATTTGCCTATTTTTGAATTAAATTTTAGAAAGATAAATATTTAAAACTAAACAGACGGATAGAATTATCAAATGAATTAAATCTAACTGAGACACAAATTAAAACATGGTTTCAAAATCGTAGGTAAGTGTCAAGCAAAGTATAGTTTAATATTAATTGAAAAGAAAAAAGAATTCAGTAAATTCTTAGTAATAGTTTAGTAACAAATTTCTAGTATAAATTTTATACACATCATTTACTGTATATCATGATAAAAGCTATGATAATTAATAGTTAAACATTTAGGAAGCAGAGCCATTATAATTCAGTTTATTTCTTTTGAAATACTTCTCCATCATCATTTTAATGTCACTTGGATTATAGTTAAGATAAATTAAATTTTGTGTATGAATGGAGTTCACCACTCTACACTAACTTCATTGATTACGTGAAAGCATTTGATAGCGTGGACAGGACAACACAATGGAAGCTTCTTCCACACTACGGCGTGCCTCAGAAGATAGTCAATATCATACGGAATGCCTATGATGGATTAAACTGCAAAATCATGAATGGAGGACAGGTCACAGATTCGTTCGAAGTAAAGACCGGTGTCAGGTAAGGTTGCTTACTCTCACCCTCCCTCTTTCTCCTGGTGATCGACTGGATCATGACGTCAACATCTGAGGGGAAGCACGGAATACAGTGGACATCTAGGATGCAGATGGACGATCTAGACTTCACAGATGATCTGGCCCTCCTATCGCAAACTCAACAACAAATGCAGGAGAAGACGATCAGTGTTGCAGCAGCAAGATTCTCCGATACAACACAGCATGCATCAATCCAGTCACAATTGACGGAGAAGATTTGGAGGATGTAAAAACCTTTACATATTTGGGCAGCATGATTGATGAACATGGTGGGTCTGATGCAGATGTGAAGGCGCGGATCGGTAAAGCAAGAGCACTATATTTACAACTGAAGTACATCTGGAACTCAAAACAACTGTCAACCAACACTGAAGTCAGAATTTTCAATATAAATGTCAAGACAGTTCTACTGTATGGGGCAGAAACCTGGAGAACTACGTAAGCCCTCATCCAGAAAATACAGGTGTTTATTAGCAGTTGTTTACGTAAAATATTTCAGATCCGTTGGCCGGACACTATTAACAACAATCAACTGTGGGAGAGAACAAACCAGATCCCAGCGGAGGAAGAAATCAGGAAGAAGTGCTGGAAGTGGATAGGACACACATTGAGGAAAGCACCCAGCTGCATCACCAGACAAGCCCTCACACGGAATCCTCAAGGTTGAAGGAGAAGAGGAAGACCAAAGTACACATTACGCCGAGAAATGGAGGTAGACATGAGAAGAACGGATAAAAACTGGATAGAACTGGAAATGAAGACCGAGGATAGAGTGGGTTGGAAAATGATGGTTGGCGGCCTATGTTCCATTGGGGGTAACAGGCGTAAGTAAGCAAGTAGTGGTATAGCACGGTGGCATTACATATAGCTGTCAAAAGGTAACATTTTGGTATTTTAATCAAACCATCTTATTAGTCTCCTACAAATCCTACAATTCATTGACTTGAGATATCATGAGAAATGTCTTAGAATCAAAGTAACAATAATCCTATATTAGACTTCCCTTACGTTCCTCATATAAGTAACATGAATTATCTTAGACAAAGAAGACCTATCTTCATTGAGTATTTCTTTAATTAAACTGCATCTTTTACGAAATATGATTCTCGATCATTTATTAATTAACTATATGACCCTTTCGTCTTCTGTTTCTTCCACTGTATGTCACATTCTTTCGTTTCTTTGGTAAATAAGCCTGTTATTATTTAAACAACAAAAGAAACCTATCTATTCACTAAAAAGTATGAAGATGTTTTAGTGATAAAGACTTTGTTTTTGATGATAGAATTTTCTTAAGCTATACAATCATATTAATGGGTAATTATTTATACATATATTAGTCTATAGTAAAATAGAAGAGTTACAAAATCATCAAAGGTGGTCGACTTTATTCTTGTTGAATGTGTAGTTTCAACTTTTAATGAAGTAATCGAAGATTATTAAAAGAATTTAAGTAGTGAATATAATAGTTCATAAACAGAAAGGTTTTATTGGAAAGTAAGTAAAATTATCGAAAGTTTATGTATTGGATAAAATGGGTGCTAGATACGTTACCAATAAGCTAGCTAAACCGTGGTCTACTTAGAACTGAGATATTTTCACTGAGTGATCAGTGGTGTTTCTTCTTACCATGACATATAATGACAATGGTTAAAATCCTACATGAAATATCAGCACCCTTGAGATTACAGACATTGAGTGGTGACGAATGATAACTAACATAAATTTCCAAATCTAAAATTTCCCACAGATTCCCTACGACCCTATTAGCATCAAACAAAGTTAGCTGTGACCGTATTGTAATTTGATTGATAGAATCTGATCAGTATTGAGAACTAGGTGATGTAATCTTAGCTATTACCAACTGAATAAACAGTGCAAACAAATTTTCGTTTATACATCTATGCTATTAATTGTAGTTTGACTGAAATTTCTGAGTTCGGGTCCCTCATGTGGGATCGTGGATACACACTACTGAGGGGTCCCATACTATGACTAAATGACCGTTTAATGCTCCTAGGTTTTCAATGATACTCTAGCTTAAATCGACTCCTGAATTCAACTATTAAAACGTACATATTTGTTAGAAATGAACGATTAAAACACTTATATTTCGTATCTATTTCTTTTTTATTAATTTATCAGAACTAAATGGAAAAAGAAATTATACTGGTTGAATTCTGCAAGCCGATTATCAGTAAATTCTGTTAAACACGAAAATAGTTCATGGTCAATATCTAATAAATCCACTACGAACAGTGAACAACAATCTGTAGTAAATAACTATTATACAAGTTTTATACCTACTCAATTTCATTGATGATAAACTGATCACAAGCTGTACTAATCATCAGTTTGTATTTTATCTATTGTCTTTATGAAATAAAGAAATATATAAGAATTTTAATTGTTTTTCTAAATAATTGTATGTAGGCGAGACTATAATTTATGGACGATATAATCAGATATAAGCAAACAGGTCTTGGATTTTGGCGCGAAATTCATTCATCCATCCGGCTAAATAACATAGCCTATGTTGACACAAAACTAATAATTACACAGCAAACGTCTATACGTATTTTATTTCGTAGTTTACTTAAATATCATATAGCAAAAACTTGTGATTACGACTGCTGAGCGTATTCTGTTTACCATTTATTATAGGGATAGTCAACTCTCCCAGACAACTCGTACTTTGTCTTTCCCTAATTTTAAACTAGTTTTTCCTCACCAAATGTTACGATGAAATAACCTTTAATTTTTGATTGTGTCAAACATCACTTCTATTACTGGTTTGTTTATTCTTTACCACGCTACTGTATCAGCCTGTTTTAAAGGAGATTGTTAATTTGATTATGCCGAGTATTTGTATGCTTAATAGATTACTTTCATCGTCAGATATAACTTCTCGTATTTAACACTGTTTAACGAACACTGGATCACCAGTGTAAGGGCGATTAAGCATTAGGAAGACATTTCAAACAAGTACATTTTTGAAGTTAGACTGAGCTAACAATAATAATAGCTTTTAAGCCAATAGCAGAAAGAAAGGTGTGTTTGTGGAAATTTGTTGAAAACGTAATTTTTCATCCACATAACTCGAGCATAGTGAAAACCATCTTTGAACCCAGCAAGTAATATTTACAGTGTACTAGGAAATTGTTTGATGTAGATGTAAGGCTAATAGTTTGTTAGCCATATGGAATAAATTTCCATAATTTTGTCTTTACAAAAACACAGTCGACAGTTGTCTTTCTATAAAAAAATAGAACATTCTAATATGGTCAAAGAGTGGCTTGGTAACTAAAATAATGCAATTACTTAACTTTATTTTACAAAGTTTAAAGTAATATTTAAAAAAAAAACTGTTGTTTACACCAAGTGTAACAAAGTAAAAATTTAAAGACACTTTTCATGCAGGTTTTTCTCTCAAAAAATCGATTAATCTAACAAACTCAAGCATACAAAGTGTGCTTAGATTACGGGTGTACACTGAAACTTGAAAATTACACCACTACACAATATAATTTCACAATGCTCACGTTATACATCTAAATTAATCATATGTTGTGAGACATATCTTGTCCTTTACCATGCTCACTGCTGACTTGTGAATCATGTGATTATTATCTATCATTCTATCAATAATAATTAGATCAATTCTAAATGCTGCATTATATATCTTTATGTTTGTGTGTATTACTATTGTTGTTTGTGACAAAAAACAAAAATGATATTATTATATGCTGAGATGAATAGTGGCTAGCATTGGAATCCAGGAAGCGCGTCTCGTCCTATGTGGGACTCGTCAGCTGGATGTACTTTCATCTCCGAGTTGGTATTCACTCTGGGACTCGAGCTCAGTACCGTTCGCTTCCACTTAGCTACTGAGTCCTGATAGCCACCTGCTTGTGAAATGGGGTGAAGTTTAAATTCACTTGGTATTTAAAACAATTAGTCCCTTGGTATTGTATTATTAGTAAACATAAAATTAATGTCCATAAACTCCCAATCAATTAACATAACGCTGAATATATACCATTGTCAATAGTTATAAACAGTGTCACTATTTAAGAGGGCTCTAAACATGTAATGCAACACAAATCAGTTAGTATTATAGGATAAAAAAATATGCAAACGTATGTTTAAATTATTTTTCATTTATACATTAATTGTAAAATTCACAATCACTTGCTTTAAGATAACTATGAGAAAGGTTAGATTTTTAATATTAAAGTTATCAAAAGAAATATAATTTCATGAATTAATAATCCATGGTGCTGATTGAATACTTTCGGTCATCATAGGTAAGATGGTTAGTCGTCTACGCGATTGTTTAAATTGTATTATTATATAACAAAAATGAATATATTTTATGAAAGGAAACTCAATCCTTATGCTATGGAAATGATGTTCTGCTTCTGTTGCACAGGGTTTTGTTGATAATAAATTCACATTAATTCAGGAAGAAACAGATGAAAGTCAGTCTTGAAACGTTAGTTTTGCCTAGCATTGATATATATATATGGTTAAGAAGGGTTAGATTATACATTTAACACCACCTCATGTAATCACTATTCTTTAGTCGCATATACCTTCTATGTAAAAAGAGAAATAAGTGACCATAAACTAGAAACTACATGACTTAATAAAGATCACATTAATGTAGGTACTTTCACTTTTAATGTATTTCACAATCACGAACATATATAACCATTCATAAATTACACTTCAACTAAATGATATCGAAATCGAAACAATTAGGAATAGTCAATTATTTGGCTAGTTTTTAATCTATAATTACTTAGTATTTTTTTCTTTAAAAAAATAATTAAAATAGGAAAGTAGAACCAAAGGTTAATTTACAAAACAAAATGGAAACATTTGATTGCTATTGCTTCGGCGAATTTCAAAAGGTTTGAATTTGATTGTTTGTTGATCACCTTCAAACCTTTTGAAACTTGCCGAAGCAATAGCAATCAAACGTCTAAAACCAGATCTTTGTATACAAAAAAATGGAAACAAATAGGAAACATGGATAATTGTGAGTATAAGGTATAACAAAACAAAAATATTAACATAGAATACAATAAATAGTTTACTAAATCATAGATTCTACTTATTTACACAACATAAGGACTATAATAAATAACTATTTACCATTAAAAACAAATAAATAAACAGATGAATAAAAGAATCTAGTAGACAAAAGAAACATTATAAAACATTGAACAATGAATTCTTTTTTTTTCAAAAAAATAACTTGTAAATTTATGTTTTCTCACAATTATATAAATGAAAGTAGAATAATTAATTACAAAAGTAATGGTATGTTATGTTAGAAAAGAAATATCAGATGGAATTGCTACTGATCGACGGGCACTTGTATTTCGAATAGAATTTGATTTACTTTTAGGGATATTAATAGTCTCGGAGAAAGCTTCAGAGCCCCAAAGTTCTATAATATTTAAGAGAAATAGGAAAAAGAAAGAAATTTACTGTAGGGTCATATATATATATATATATATATATATATATATATATATACGTGTGTTCGGACACAGTGACGATACTTTAATTGGTGTCACCATCTCGAAACACTGGTGGCTTAGACATGTACTACGAATTTCATGTCGTGTATTATTTGTCGATGCTGGGACCGGTTGAGAAAAGTGAAGAGTTGGTCAGTGTATGACATGGTGTCGTGGTATGAAAGAATGTTATATAAGACTGGCTTCTGTTGAACCTTCACGAATCCCTGGTTGAGGTCCTAGAGATAGTGCAACACATTGGCTTCAAATGTAATCGGAAATGGTTCAGAATAGAAGTTAGTGATGATCCTACTGTAACTTAGTGTAACTCCGATAAAACTGCTTTGACGATCCGAAAATTTCAAACATTAACACAAAGGAGATTTTGAAATGGAAAAATACAAATTAATCACTACATATGTACAAACCGAAAGGTTTATTACATAAAACAATAGGGGCCACATGTAGTCTCTTTGCTAGCTAGTGATTAACGTTCATTTATACTTCATTTCTTCCCTCTGAATAAGTGGGCTAATTAACAACATTGGTTTGGAATAAGGGTTTCGCAATTTCTGCAGGTAAACTTTCCGCATCCATGAGACCGATTTATGCACCGGATGTTCACCTTCACTATTATGAAGTATCCCGGCCAAATGGAAGTAGTGAAAAGGAACTACCTGAAAGGGTATAAATCTGAGGTTGTAGGGAAACCATTTCGAGAAGGAAAGAAAAGTTTATCACTCATAGCCCTACCACGGTGTTCGTTGGTTGTAATATAAGGTTCTGAAACGCAGAGATTATCTATTTTCATTCTACATCATATCCAGTATCTTTTCCTTAAAATAAGCAATTATTGTTTGAAGATAGTTACAGAGAGTGAGGATAAAAATAGAATAGCACATTTTAGTATCAGTCAGTCAGTCAGCTACAACGTAGGACCAGGCACATATGTCCATCGGTCCAGGTTCCCATACCGCATCAGCACAACAAGATGCACACTGGATTCATAGAAGTGGTTAGGTCAAAGGTGGTAATATATAAGAGAAAGTTTGCATAAAGAGATATAGTACAAGAAGAAAGAATTGGTTCGTAGAAAGAAAGATATGAAGTGACTTTAATCTCTTAGTTTAAGGGAAGACAAAGAGTGTATACACCGACGCCATTGTGATCGATTCTGAGCCATGTCACCAAGAGTCTCCAACTATTGGTTACGACAAGCGCGCGGACCCCAACCAAGTAGTCTGCATCTACCAACATGGCTCAGACTAGAAGTTAGTGACTTCAAGCACTGATGCCACGTTTTGGTTTGGCCGCCCCTAACTTTCTTCCAACCAACCCCTACACCGGTTAGCATTGCACGTCGTGGTAATCGGTGTTCAGGCATACGTAATACGTGGCCCAACCATCTCAGTCGATGAAGATTCATAACCTCATCAACTGATTTACCATCATTCCCTAATACCCTGCGTCTAACCTCACTATTACTTACCCGGTGATCCCAGCAGATGCCAGCAATATTTCTAAGGCATCTGTGGTCAAATACTTGTAGCTTACGGGTGTCTTCTACTCTTAAAGGCCATGTTTCGCTGCCGTAAAGTAAGACAGAACGGACTGCCGCGCAGTATACTCGTCCTTTTATTGATAGACGGATATCTCGCCTCCGCCAAAGGTGACGTAAGTTGGCAAAAGCCAAGCGAGCTTTTCGAATCCGTGCTGAGATTTCGTCAGACACCGACCCATTAGGGCTGATCAGACTTCCAAGATAAGTGAAGTTATCAACGCGTTCGAC